ATGCCATTTCAATTTGAAAAACACAGCTAAAGTTCAGAAAGTTTTCATTGCTCTACATTTACTACTAAGAAAACCAATGTGGGAATTAATGGATTATACTATTTCATTTTTTGTGTCCACGTGAGCACTATAAAAGAATAGAATGCTCTTGCTGGAGTTCCTTTTCAACAGGCATGGGATTTTACAAAAGCTATTCATTTGATGCAGACTATGAATATGACAAATGAAATCCAAATGCAGTCTCTGTACTCCCATCCAAATGCCACACTTTATTGTGACCAAGCGTAAGAATATTCTGGTCTCCAATATATATGCAAAAGGTGTTAGGTCTAACCTACACAGGGTCAACTAACTCAACCAAATGAAAAAACATTTATTTTTATACCTATTTGTGAAGTATTCTGCACAAATCTAATTATTTCTTCAATCCTTCACTTATTGTTTGAAAAATACCAATTATGTGAAAGATCCAGACCTAAGTGTTATTGGGAATGTAAAGATGAATAAAAATGGTCCCTTTTTCCTAAAAGCTTACAGTCTAGTACAGGAAGCAGACCAGTTACACAAAGAATTAAAATACCAAGATAGAAAATAAAACATGCTCTGAGACAGACACATTAAGGACAGAGAAAACTGGAAGGGAGGAGACATTTTTATAGGTAGGGAAATGAGAAAAGACTTCATAAAGGAATGCTATTAGTTTTGGGTCTTGAATAACCAGGGAAGGAGAAGAGGCCACTCCAGACAAAATGGCATTCAGAGCAGTAAGGCCTTGGTGAGCATGCACAAGGCACATGGCACAGCTCAGCAGGAGAATCCTGCAGACGGGAAGTAATTAATGCCAGAAAGGCAACTAGTACCAGATTAGACAGAGCTGAGACTGTAGAATAAGAAATTAATATTAATAAGGAAATGCTAACCCAGAAAGACCTAGAAATATATAAGCAATACAATACATGCTGCACAAGTATATTTATATAAATGTACTATTCATTAATATTACTTAGGTGCAAATGTGTAAATATGGAGTAGGTGGTCATTATTCAAGGACTTAGGTTATGATCTTATAATGATTGTGGGCATAAAGTGCATTTAAAGTGATACCAAAAAACTCTGAATGAAATATACCTAAAGCTATGTTCCATGTGCATGATTATGACATAGTCCTTGTCATATGACAGAAGGTACACAAGATTCTAAATTGTGAGTCAAGACTGAAATAGGGGCAAATCTGAGGACTGCAAAGTCCTCAAATGCAGAGGAATTGATTTTTTAACTCTAATTTATCATTTAAAAATTGTCTAGGTACTGAAAAATGAATTAACAATTATCTAGATAATATTCCACTTGGTAGCTGAGCTATTTATTACCAGTGACACAAGAAAAATGAAAATGCTTCATTGTTTGGCCAGCAGGTGGCACTTGTCACTCAGTATAGAAAAAAAGCAGGTCATGAGTAATGAACTTGAAACGTGGAGTTAGGAACAAATTTCTCATTCATCTATCCATAGAGAAGAAAGTGGAATGGCCTTTTTCAGAAGCACAGTTTATAAAGAGGGCCTTGGCTTGCTGACACACTTACCAATTACATCCTGAATTTGAGCTCTCCTATTAGGTTATTGAACTTAGGTATTTCCCTTAACAAATACTATTTACAATATGTTTGTTGCCTTTGTAAATGTTCTAATGTCCTTTCTGTCTGAATTTATCCTATGATACCATGAGCAGATCTGTGCTGGAATTAGGCAAAAAAGAAAGGAATTCAAATCCACCATTTAAAGATGTATGACTTGATTCAATTTATTTAACTTTTTTGAACTTCACTTCCCTTTTGTTATAATTTTTATCATCAGCTGGAATGTTATGGAGATTAAACAAGATGCCATTTATGGAAATGACAGTTTTGGACCTAGCTACTTCATTTTCTCTTAGAGGACAAGATCTAACCATTGGAATACCTCTCGTACCAGAACAGTTTTCTGACTCACTCTAAGTATTCTCTAACGAGGATTTAAGTGGTGCTCCTAGAAGACTGTGTTACTCTATACATCAGTAGGGTGTATGAGGGGTGGAGAAGAGGATATAGCTACTGACTTCTGATACTAGTACCATAATACTACCTTCCCCACCATTATTCTATTCCTCCTGGTTGTCAGCGACACAAAACCCAGAACCACAGAATCTAAGATCCAGAAAGGTCTTTAATTTACCTAGGCAACTATTCATTTTCAAGATCAGGATGCCTTCAGCCATTAAAGCTGAAATACAGGATAGTAAGAAATGGGATGTGCACATTTGGGTTATTTTTATAGTTGCTCCCCAGGTCTGGTCAATGGATATGTGGGCCCTGGTAGTGGGAGGCAGGAAGACAGAACAGGAGGTGGGCAAACCATAACTGCATTGCACACATCTTATTATTTCCTGATATTGAGAGAATGGCACCACCAACAGACACAGTGACTCATGGTAACACACTATCCAGTTCTCAACCTTCCGGTGGTGTCTGCCCTACACCTGAATCACGTCTGCACTGGACCTGAAAGGACCCAACACCCTGTTTTCTTGTTTCATATTCTAGCAGCACTTCTTCTAAAAGGCAGAATGAGAATAAATTAACACTGGACATTGGATGATTTTGAGCTTTGTTTCTCACATCTGGTAGCTTTATAACCAAAATAGTTTTTAAATACCTTCATAGATTCTTTTGTGAAATTATAGTTCGTGAACAGGGAATGGAGGTCACTTTTCAAAGGTCTTCTATTTAACAATTACCGTATTTTGTAATGTTACACAGTTTTTAAAAGATAGACATGTCACACAGATGCTGAGTTAATTTTTTTAAATACATAAGGTTAGCATGTTTAAAAGATTGGTTCTGTGAAGGAACAATCAGTGTTTACCTCCAAGTCTTCATTTGTTACGTTTTACTTACCTGGAATGTCCTGTCCTTTCCCTCTATTTACTCTAAATAGACTTCAAGACAGAAGTGCTACTTTCCTTATGAAACCTTTTTTGATTGATGATGCCCTCACTATATCCTTGTAATAAACTTTCATTATAGCTTCAGTTATGATCACAGTAGTACTAAACCAGGTCTTTTAGTGGTTACAGATTTTTAAATAGTTATTAGACTTGGTCCACAAAAGGACTGTGTATTATCTGAGGATGTGTTTTATTTGTTGGTTCAACAATTACTTATTGAGTACCAACTATATGCCATGCACAGTTTTAGGTAATACACATTTATAGTAAACAAAACTAAGGCTATCCCTGCACTCATGGAGCTTCCATTCTGATATTAGAGTTACTGTTTTTACCATAATGCCTAGCGTGGAACTGACTGATGGGTAAGTATGTGCTCAGTTTACCTCAGAGTTAACTGGAACCCTAAGCAATGCTTTCCTTGACTACCATAAAAACAGGGTCAGTTAAGGGCATCAGTGCTGGAAAGTGTGTTCAAGATGCTAGGATTATTTTCACAAAAGGATGCGGGGGAGGATTCATATGTCATTTGAACTGATGGGAGTAAGTTCCTATTTAAGTACTGCTAAACTTCTCTGTTTATATTTGAAACAGACTGAATATATAAATCTGTCTCAATTTTATGAAAAAAAAATAACTAACAAGAAAGAATAAGCAGAATGGATGGTGCAGATCTATTATCCCAACAGCTACCATCAAAATGTCTGCCTCATGGATGAATTAAACATCCCATCTTAAACAAACAAAAAGGTAATTAATACTTTGTGATTGGCACTACTACTATCCTAGAGTCAGCTCTGACCTCTGTAGGAGAGGAAAAAAATACCCAAAGACTGAAATGAAGATGGAATCAATTCAGGTTATACTGACTGCCATCACAAATCTACAAGGAGTGGTAAACAAGAAGAAAAAACAAAATTAAGACATTCCATATTGGAAATGTTTATTTAAAAACTGCAGACTATTATACCTTTACTTCTGACCTCTGCTATCAAGTCCAAAGTGAGAAGCTCCATGAACTGTAGAAAGCTGTGCCACTGCAGAGGGACGGGGAATGCTTAAGAAGGGTGTGTCTCCACAGGGAGTCAGCATCTTCCCAAGAGAAACCCTGAGACTCCAGGCTTAAAATGAAGGTCAGGTTTCTTTACTGCCCAGATAGTAGCTGTTTTGTATGGCAGATCCCTAGCAAGGTGGGAAAGTAGGAAGATGAACCAGGGTAGAAAGAAAGTTTATCTTCTCAGAGCCCGGGGATATACATAATAATAATAATGTGTTAAGCCTAGGGGTCTTTAATCTTGCTCCATATGAGAATTTCCTATTCAACTGAGCATTTTATCTCCTAACATCTACAGAGGAGTCAACACATTAGGACATAAGCTGCTGTGAACCCCTCAAGTTCTATTTGAGGAAGTTGACAGGCTACACAAACAAAAAATGCTGAATTTGTGGGCTGTATCCATACAGCAAATAGAAATCTAATTATTGTATTAGTGAAGAGATTCAAACAGTACTTCTGTATGCTACTTTTTCTATCACTTGAAATTATTTATTGGATTTTCTTAACAATTATATATCACTGAGTTTCTGCATTAATAAGCTAGTATATTTTTTTAAAAAAAACAACTCTCTACCTAAAAATCCACCCCCATGGAAGAACTCTAATGAAATAAAAAGAGCCCAGCTTTTGGAGTTATACAGATTTGCGTCCCAGTCTTGACCGGGTGACCTCCACAAGGCTCTATGTGCATCTCTAGAATGGAAATAAATTCCTCCATTTCTCACAAGCACCGTTGTGTAGATGGACCTAGATACCACATGTCTGGTATTTTTTGAAGAACTCTCCTCCCTTTCTGGAGCCCTGGAGCATTGTAACAGTCCAAAATTAAGAACAGGTGTCAAAAAGGATAGAAAAAAGAGGATAAACAATTCACTTGGATAAACCACATTAGCCAGTTTGCACCCATGACACAATGGCTCAAAGTCCAGGTAGATTTGGGGAAGAAATAGGAGTAGCTCACCTGTGGATGCTGTTCAGCCAGTCGATTGTGATACCTCTGGACTGACTCTTGAAGTTGCTTCTCTTTCTCATTTTTTGATGGTAGCACTGTGTTCATGTTGCCCAGGGGGATGAGAGGTAGGCGTTCTGTTTTATTACAACTTCACAATCAACAAATACAAGAGATAAGATCAGAGGAAATACAAACTCTTTACGTCTATAAAAGATGATTTACTCCTACAAGGAGCTACTTTGTTTTATATCCAAAATTCGAAAAGCATCATATTGATGACTTTAGGTAATACGTGACCTTAAGTCTCCAATTTGTGAGGAAAAAAGAGTTGAATGAAAAATGTGGAGGGTAGTAATATTTACAAGAATGCAGAAATATTCATTGTTTTACAAATGCTTTATTTGTCCTGCATTATCACGAAATGAAGCCTTTTGCAAAAATGTTTTTAGATATTTGAAGCATATCCCATTACCGCCAAACATTTTCACAAAAAATTTTGGGATAGAGATCCATGTCTCTTTACAACACACCACATAACTCTGCTTCTGAAACACATGGATCCTTTGTTTGATAACTAAGGGTCACTGCTGAAGATCAGTGATTCTTGCAATGCAATATAGCAGCTCAGGGACAGCCCCGGGGGTTACTGAGCCCTTCACCAATTAGCCCCCCATGACCCCACCAGCAGCATCCCGACATCCTTCTCTCCCTGCTGCTGTCAGTGTGTCTGTTTCTGGAAGTCTCTCTGCTTCCCAATCTTACCGATGTGCTGTTCTGAATCACTAGTGGACTAATACATGTATTATATAATCAAATAGAATAGTGTTTAAATGAACAATGAACAGGCTGAGGATGAGAGCGTCCATTGTTACAGTTACAAAAAATACTAAGGACTTTTGAGACATCTTGTGTGGAAAATTTGAGACTTTTTTTTCCTACTTTTGTGTTCATAACTGTGCTGTGGGAAGCTGAGTTAGCCAACCTGTTGAAAAACTGAGGTATTACATTGTTTACCTTGATATTGAGACTCAGCAAGGATAAGAAGTTCAACTTCCACTGGGCATGACTTGGATTCAGCACATGGCTGGGATGTGCAGGAATGGGGCAAAATGTTGAGGTCAGTTCTCAGAGCCTGCTTTACACAAGGGTTTTTCTATTACTAGTAGGTACCAAAAAGGGGGGGAAGGGACAAAATTTATAGGCAGTAAATGTGTATTAAGCTAGTAGAGGAAGGAGGAGTTGAGAGCAGAGAGAATGCCTTCTCCCATATGAAACAGTGCAGGGAAAGTGAAGCAGATCAATCTCACAATCTCTCTGCTTCTCAGGGCTGCAGCATGCATTTTTCTTGTCCTCTACCAACAGTGAGAAACTACAATCAAATTCAAGGGCTACTGTGCAAAAACACTTAAGTCCACCCACATATGGTATATGTTGTCACTGTTATTTTCAAAGAAAGGTGGCAGATAAACAAATCAGGAGCCATCTACTATATATATAGCCACCTGCAGTGTTGAAGTGAAGACATCTGTGGGGTAGTACCTATATATGTTTCTATTTCATTTGAGAAAAGAATTTTATGGCAACATTAAGTTTTTATTCAGAAAAGAAAAATCTCACATATTTTTATTAAAATGCAATCCATTCAGTTGTATTTAAAGATTTTTGGAAACAAATTAAATTTTAATACACAATATAGCCACACAGATATTTTTTAACATGCTTTTCAAAATTCAGATTTTTTTGGTTCCAATGATAGGCATCAGTTTTAGCTGCTGGTGATCCCTATTTTCAATGCAGATGTGTGCATAGCATGCACGTAATGGAAATGTACTGGTATCTATTTCTTGGGTACTGTGATAAAAATGTCTAGCCTCCCTCTGTGCTGAAAGTGGAAAACAAAAAGAAGCTTTGGTGGTCTAAAAAAGGCATGGCTCCATTTTACCCTGCCTCAGTCACCACTTCTGTGTACTATCATTTGTGAAATGCTGCAATAGGTCATCATAAAGTATTTGAATAAATCAGGTTTCTTGAAATGTAAAAAGATGCCTTTGGAGAGCAGGTATGGTAAGGCATAAAGAGTGCAGGTTTTATATCAAAATTCTTGGCTTCAAGTTTCAGTTATATGGAGGAATCCTGGACAAGTCATTGGACCTCTCTTAGACTCAGTGTTTTCTCCTTTGAGAAATGATGAGAGTTCATATGATTATTGTAAAGATGAAATCAGATAACATATGTAATTGTGATGTGAGAGAGCTATTATGTTTCCTGCTCAAACTCTGTATAGACATGTTCATCCAAATGCTGTTCAATGGCATTAAAAATGCTAACAATTGGTAAGTAACTGCTGACACTAAATTATATTTATGTAAATATAAACAATGTCACTTTTTATCTCTTTACTTGTCCTTCTACTCATCAAATGTTGCCTAATAACTATGCTTCACTTCTCATCACTTTAATAAACTTATTTTATGTGATTCTGTCCAAATCCAATGGCACATACATATACCAGTGTTTTACTATTTCATATATTCTCTAGGTGTGCACAGTCTGTCTTACTATATTGAATCAGAGGATTGAGTAAGGTCTTCGGATTAATTTCTCTTCCTCTAGGAATCTTCATATCTACATCCCTGTTAATGATCTTCCATAAAGGAAATTATCAACCCTTAAGTAACTGCCCTTGTAATCAGGAGTTTTCTTTATATCTCCCCTAAATTTCTTGCTGCCAACATATTTTTTTCCCTAATCTTTTCAGTATAAATGAAACACAGATGGCCAAAATTATGTCAGTATATTTAGAGAATTGAGGACTTAAGAAATTATAAATAAAAGATTTTTGCATGTTAAGCATTTAAGGTCCATCAGTTTTCTATCAACATGGCTAAATTTATCTTGCCTGTCATCACAACTGGCACTGCTTTGATGTGTAAAAGAAACAGAATTAATGTAGCTTTGAAACTAATTTTACAAAACTGTGACGGTATTACCACTTTTCAAGGAGAAGAGGGTGAGACTGTGCCATTCAAGGATAATGGTCAATTGGAGATAAGGGAAGCTGTAGAGACAGATTCCCAGTTTCAGTCTGTCCAGTAATGCTCAGACTGGCCTAAGAAGTCATAGGTGTATGGTTACATGTGTGGGGAGGGGCCTAAATTCTCATGTCTTGTTATCAAGGGGTCCCCAGTAACCAGGGACTTAGAAGATTGTCCTTGCAAGGAGCTCAGCTGGACCCAGAGAAGACGCAAAAGGTACTATTATTACACCCCATTCTAAGTAATGGGAAGCTGAGTTCCAGAGAGGTTATATCATAAGTCCAAAGTTTCATAGCTAAGGGAGCCAGGATTAAAACCCAGGCAGTCTGGCCTCAGAGCCTGAACTCTAAACACTATTCTGCACTATATGAAAAGGTTTTAGCTCACAGTAAGTTATCAGTATTAATTTTTTACTCACTTTACTTTAAGAAGCTGCTATTCTTAATACTGAAATTTAGCCAATATATTATTTCTATTTGGGAGATATTTACATTTCAAGTTTAGGCTGGAATACAGTTGGAAGTCAGAGACCTTGGCCAGTGGCTTCATGAACATGTTCTTTGCCCATATTTGGGCTTGACTTTTCACTTCTCTAGAATGAAGCGAGACTCAACAGGTGTTATATAATCATGCTCTCTAGAGCTCTAGGCTTTCTGCAGATCATAGGGAATGGAAATGAGAAGTGGCTGTCTGTGGCCCTCTGATTCCCAACCTTCAATTCAATTGGAACAGTTCTGCAATCATCTATTTTATATATTTGAGGTCTAAGACAAATTTTATCTGGAAAAAGTAACAGATTCTGCTGCAAACCAAGAAAGGGAGACTGAAAAGCCAGAACATGAAAAGTCAAAGAGCCCTTGCCACCTCGGACATGTTTCCTTAGTCTCTAACTATGATTCACCTGGCAACTATAGGTAGAAGGGGTACAGTAGCCACTTCTGAAATTTTCTTCTTTTTAATTTTTTTTTGCTTGCTCTTTTTTTTTTTCTGGGGCTGAATAAAAATAAACACAAGTTATCACTCTAATGTCTGCATGAGCAATATTGATCCCCTTATTCGGGTCAAAGGACTCAGAACAAACTCCAAGGAAAAACAACACTTGACTTCGGGGTGTTTTTGTTTAAGGGGTGTACTAACTCTTCCCTGCAAAGGAAAACAATGCCAGTCTAAAAGAGCTTGTAATAACAGTGACATTTATCAATATTTAATTGGTCTCTTTCCTGTTTTAGTCTGAATTTCTTCCACCAAGAGCACAAAGCAATGAAATCAATACGTGACTTAAATAGAAAAAGCACATGGCCTAACAGTTTAATGCCCCTAGAGACACCCTCTGGATAAGAGTCCTTTATGATAAGGTTGTATGTTATGTGAAAAAGTACTGGAAGGCAGAACTCTTAAACACTGGGTCACGGTCTCCTGCCAGCTGAACCACAGAGCTGCACACACCAATGTCTGCAAATAGTTACATCCAGGTCTCTCTTGACAGAAAAGCTCACTGACAAGTATCTCTCCACAGGTGGCAAGGGACTAGAAAGAGTTCAACAAGATTATAGCTACTAAGCTAAAATGTATCTGTATCTGACATTTTCCAGGTTCATATGTATTTTAGGAAATAAAAAATGGATAATTTTAGAAAACCATGAAAACTACCTGTTTTCCAAGTGGTTAGGATTATTAGCACAAATCCAGATGTCAAAAAAGTCTTTTTCCTGAAAATTAACAGGAGGCGGCAAGACTCTCCATTTAAGGCAAAGATCTAATAATCAAAACAAAATCACACACAAAAAAGACCACAATCAGAAGTTAATCTA